GAAGATGTCTGAGTCGGAAAATAAATTCCCCCAAAGGTGACACATGTGACTTTTAAAAGGGTGCTTCAAAACATGCTTTAATATCTCTGAAACTATCTGGAATATTTTATACATTTTTTATGAGCAAATGCCAAACTTCATTAGCAGTAAAGAAGCCCGATAAGTTCAATGGGGAAATTTAATTTACGAGATTCGCTAATGAGACTATTTGTGGAACCTGCAAAATCGGGGAAAACTTTAATTCCCTGTTTCGTTTTAAGAATTCATTAGCGCAGAGGGGCACCCGGAGCCCCGAAAAAGTGCAGCATACAGAAGCTGCTTTAAAAGCCAATCCGAAAATAAGTGGATTTCGAGGCCTTTAAAAGCCCAAAGTGTCAGTCTGTCAGTCAGCAAGGCACTTGTGCTCAATCAGAGAGTGGGTGCTCCTCCCCCGCTGCGGAGGCGTTTGTATGCGGTGTGTGGTGAAAGGGGGCGGGGCAGCGATGGGAGTCCCATAACTCAAATCATCTGAACGGCAGAACAGCAGCCGGGGCCTAATGAAGTGTCCCAAAGTATCTGTTAATAGGTGAGGAGCGACGGTGACGGAAAACCAAATTAGAGGGAAACAGAGTAAGAAAGCCTCACTTTTTATGATCCGGCATTAAAAAGAAGAATCTCTTTGCCTATTTTATGGCTTTAAAGCGAAAAAACGGTAGACTTCAGACTGTAGACTGTAGAAAAAGTGCCAAAAGCTTGTTAGGTGGAAAAACGTTCCTCATCTCCCAGCGACAGCATTTACATTTTGACTGCTGCCCCTGAAAACAGCATCTCGACATCAGCTTCAGCATCCACCATCCACCATACAGCCATCCAGCATCAGCATCATACCACATCAATCAGCAGCACTGGGCAACATTAAAATGGTAATTTAAAACCGCGAGAGGAGCCTCAGGATACCCGGCAGTGGGAGAAGTTGGGCCAGATACGAGGGGGGACTGAAAGCGAGGGGGCGAAGTCATCATGCCGACGTTTTAATGATTGGCCGTTGGCTTCTTTCCACCGTCGTCTCCACTGCTCCACTGCTATGCAAAAATTGTATATCCTCTGACTCGTAAATCAAGGTTGCAACACCTAACCAGGTGCCCGGCGGAAGGGGCCGGAGCTCGCAGGAAAATCGAGGAAAAACCAAACTCTTGGGCAGACGCAGTAAAGTGTTTTGAGAAATGTCACCCGTGGGGCGTTTTTGTCATTTCAAAAAGTGTTCAATCAACTGTCAGCGAGCTCGATTCCTTCAGCAGATTGAATATATCTGCCAGATACACTGTATTACCTTAGAGTGCCACTGTTGGACCTCTAGGACTGGGAGTTCTACCAACTCCATAAACATTTAATAATTTAATAATCTGGACGGATTTACTCTCGGGGCAATTAGCCATTCACAACTCGTGTAAAATCAACAAGGCTGCCTGGCCACTTAGGAAGCATTTAAAATCCGCTTACCACCGGCTTTTGCTTAGCAAATGACCCACAAATGAAGCTCAAAATACGAGCTTGCCCGCCTCCTTCTCTGGCCTCTTAAAGCCCTGTTCCACCCACGCGGGTGTTGGGTTTCTCCCGCTGAAAGCAGAAGCGAATTCTTTCTCAAGTGTCTCATGTTGCAGAGTCTCCCCCACCAGGCTCTAAATCACAAAAAACCACACCTCCTCGACCCGAACCAGTTAGTGGAACTGAACTTTGAATTAAGTTGAGCGGCTTCCGTCACAACAAGCGCTTACTTGCTCCTCAGGCCTGGTAACTAAATACTTTTACGAGTGCGAAGGAGTTCCTCAGGTTACATTCGGAAACATTGTGATTTACAACGGCTTGAACTTAAGGCGCGAAAAAAGACTTTTCTCATTAGAAACATTGCTTCAATATGGTTTTTAAATTTGTCGTGTTTTTTTCCAAGGGGTACCCTCAAAAAAATTTGGGTTTTCTAGTTTCCCCACTTTTGCTCCTTCCGATGGTCATACCTCTGCCAATTGGTATCCGATCAGGAAATAAAGTACCATTTTGTAATCAGCAAACCCAGAAGCGACTTTCCTCATTCAAAACATTGTTTAAATATCGTTTTTAAATTATTCGAATTTTTTGATTTTTTTCCAAGGGGTACCCTCATAAAAATTCGTGTTTTCTAGTTTCCCCACTTTTGCTCCTTCCGATGGTCATAGCTCTGCCAATTGGTATCCGATCTGGAAATAAAGTACCATTTTGTAATCAGCAAACCCAGAAGCGACTTTCCTCAATCAAAACATTGTTTAAATATCGTTTTTAAATTTTTCGAGTTTTTCGATTTTTTTCCAAGGGGTACCCTCATAAAAATTCGTGTTTTCTAGTTTCCCCACTTTTGCTGCTTCCGATGGTCATAGCTCTGCCAATTGGTATCCGATCTGGAAATAAAGTACCATTTTGTCATCAGCAAACCCAGAAGCGACTTTCCTCATTCAAAACATTATTTAAATATCGTGTTTAAATTTTTCGAATTTTCCCTGGATACACCCCTAAAATTGTGGGTTTTTCTAGTTTCCCCACTTTGGCTCCTTTCATTTTTTCATATTTTCCGATGAGACACCTGGTGAGGACTTTTTGGAGAGGAATGCCTTAAAGGATTCGTGCATTAATCTTAATTTAAACCTAGAGGATATGTTGTTTACTATTGTTTTTGTAAAAGTGTATAATGAGTCCAGCTAAGAAGCGACTTTCCTTTCCCAAAAGAGACACAAAGTTAACTGGCTTTGGGAGTTCAGCCACGTTCCCCAAACAATTTCTGGCGAGAGCAATTATTTGTCTAAAATAATTGCCAATTGGTCGCTGAAAAAAGCGAAAAGCAAAAGCGGAGAAACAATACAGGCTAGACATCAAACAATCAAAGTTCTAGGGGTCCATCTGGTCGCTGGCTTTGACTTTCGAAATGGAGAACCCGGAGATTTGCCAATTGTTTCGGCTGCTTGTTAGTTGTCCAGCGATTTCCGTTTCCGCTTTCGAACCTTTCCGCTTTTCGACTCCCAGTGGTAACTGTAACTCCTCGGAATCCTGGATCCTGCAGAGTCCTGGCACTCTGAGCTCGGTGTCTGGCATTGAAATGAAAACAAAAGCCGAGCCACAAAGTCAAAGCCAAAGCCAGGCGAGAAATTGGCAATAGCTGAAGCGAATAGGCGACCAGTGGCTGGTAAGTGGGAGAAAGGATTCAGCGGGAGGGTCTAAGCCATCATTGGTGTTTTATTAATGGCCGAAAGGGATGGCTGGATCAGAATTTCTGCTGCGTGGCTGCTTTTGGCATTCATTTCGTGGCCCAGACGGCCGCCCTTTTGTCTGGCCCGAAACAATAACAACAAAGCAATGAAATCGAAAAACGTGCTGTTGCCCAAAAGGGAATTTTTATTTGCCGTCTATCGGCATTATTGACTTTCAGGCTCTCACCGTCAGCTGTGACCAAAAGGACGAAAAAGTAAAAGGCAAAAAAAGTAACGTCGTCTGCGGTTTGCTTGGGAAAATACACTGAAGGTTACATAAAAATAATATTTCGGGCTTTGTGGGGCGAGACTCCCACTTTGTTTGCATTTCAACTTTCGTTTTCAATTTACGGGGATTTCTGGACTCCTCGCCCTCATAAACAGGGCGTAAAATGCACCTGAACTGCAGACAATGGGCTAGAAAAAGGTAGTGGCCGGGTGGTCCTTAGAAGTTATATCCAGAAAGGAAAAGTAATACAGACACGGATTTGTGGTCTATAAAAGTGTTTCATTTCCACTCAAACGAGTCTTAAAGCTGTGAAAATCTAAACCCTTTTCGCCGCTCAATGCCTCCTAAGTGGTTACGTTTCCAAATGATTCTCGTTATAATAATTTTGCGTAATTAGAATAAATGATGATTAAAATCATTAAAAAGTTTCGCCCAAGCGCATAAATTTCCAGCATAATTCAATTGCCGGCGATGAATTTTAATCAAATTGCCGAGAACTCTGAAAGTCAGTCGAGAGCCGCAGAGCCATCGATTACATCATCTCGTCAGCCAGCGACAGGCGGTGATGGGAGGGTGGCTTGCCGGCGAAGGAGACGGACGAAGGTTGTCGGCTTAGTGTTCTGGAGTGTGGCAAATAAATTGACATTTAGCTGTGCGTGTAACAAGATCAAGTATACGCAACGGTGCCTCCGCTGCCAGGTATTCGACAGTGCAAACAGTGTATGCTGCTCATTAATGTTGCATGGTGGCTTCGCCTGCTTGCCTCTAATCGAATCTGCCCCTCCAGCTCCTGCTTCTGCCATACTTCTGCTTCTGCTGCGGGTTTTCCAACATTTTCCAAAACGTAAACCCAACTGACAGCAAAGCAACCAAGTTTTTCCCCACGACAAGAGGTCATACACAGTACGTCATGTTGGAGCGAAGAAAAGCAAGTGGTTGGTGCTTGGACGGGGAAGCTAGGAAATCTATAACATGCCACCTGACGTTTTGATGTGCCGATTAGTTCGTGTCCTGATTGTGTCCTGTTTGCTGCGGTCGTTGCACGGCTTGTGGGGGGCTCAAGGGCCTGGCAAGAAATCAGGGATGGCAAGCTAATACTCTGTCTTTTAATTTCAAAACAAACAACTCATTAAAACAGGAAGAAGCTTAGATGACTTGCCAAACAGTGTGCTCTTTTTATTTTCAATAAAGTAAATATTCCTTGCCTGCAACCCTGAATGGCCTGCGTGCCACCGCCCCTGGCTTCGTGTGCAACAGCGTCTTGCATGTGCAACAACCTTTTCGGTGTCCAAACCCCCAGTTAAGTTGTTAGCCCCGTTGACAGTGATGAAAACTTTGCTGACAGGCCAGAGCTGCCAGCAAATTGGTTGCTCAACGGCGGCAAGATGAGGGTCCTGGAGAGCCACACACTCCACCGAGCAATCGATACAATTACCGGCTGCAAGACACAACTTTATGGATTTTCAAACACAACTTTGCCACTTCTCCTGACCCAGATTTCCATCCTTTTCTATTTCCAGAGAGATGAAATAATTGCCGTCAGCCAGCCAGGCAGATAGTCTCCCACTGGAGGACACTTGATCCTCAGAAAGGTAAGTCGTAGTGTTTTAGTTGCTAGCAACTCTGTAGTCCTAGTTTTTGGCGGAAATGGCGCATGAAACCAATTTGCTGCCCTCACACCTGTTGAAGAAGCAGATTTAAGAGACTTTTCATCAAATTTCCTGACCTCGAAGCTGGAGGAAGCAAAGGGACGAACAGAATTTAATGCAACACGGAAATGCCAGAACGGAGCTCTTTTCCAGAAATTTTCCAGAAGCTCTTGCCATTTCCGCAAAAAATGCAAAGAGGATGTGGGTTCTGGGAGGGCAAAGGTAAATAGGGAAATGGGCGAGCATCCGAGCAAAAGTAAAAGCAAAAGTAAAAGTCCAAGACCAACAATGCGAATCTGCGAACCGCCTCGGGGGCCACACACTCCAGTAAACAGTTGCTACTTCGGCCCCTCCTGCCCTAGTTCTTTGGCCAAAGTTTTGACAAAAATTTAATTAAATCCACGTCAAAGTCAGGCGGCAAGAAATTCAACATTACTGGCTTCGATGTCAAGCAACAAGTATCTAAATATTACGGGTTTTCCGCGCAAGTGGCCCAAGTAAGCCGATTTTCAATGGAAATTCCCATTGTGCATTCGGCAAATATGGATCGATGTTGCCCTGGAAATACGGGTTGCTTTGACTAAATAAATTTAAATTACATTTACGTGCTTCCTCCGCCATTATTCTGCATTCGGGGAGCCATGAATAAATAAACTTTATGCGTAAAATAATTCAATTATAGGCGCCTCACATGTGCGTGAGTGAAGGGATCCTACCGCTTTACAAGGACCTTTTTGCGGCTGCCCTCCTGTTATAAATAAATGGCTCGAAAAATTTTTTTCGGGTCCTGCCAGAGTCAGTTCATTGATTTTCATTGAGTTTGCTTTTGATTTATTTTTACCGGAAAAGGTTCTCCCCTTGGCTTATGAAAAATATTTATGGCTTAAATCGATTTGCATGTTTTTAAATAAACTGGTACGGGAAGAAGTCTTTGCGTTCAAACACCTAATTGTCAAGGAGAAACTTTTGGCCGTAAATCACCCGGCTTGGATCAACAGGTTGCCAGAGCCATGCCCATTTAATTAACAATTGCTTTTCCCCCAAATATATACTGTATGTGGGAAAAAAATAAAAGAAAAGCGAGGAAAGCCAAGCGGAAAACTCCCGAAAATCGATGAACCGACCCCCGAAAAATTCCTCTCGATTCCGGCTGCCAGTTGCAATTAAAAGGCCATGAATCCAGATCTTTTGTGCTTCCTTTGGCTACGCCCCCGCCCCTCTACGCCCTCATCTGGCGGCAGTGTGGGGGGCGTGGCTGCCTTGGAAAGTGAGACACTTGAGCGGAATTGAACACCAACAGCTGGCATTAAGCGATGTCAATTCCAAAATGGTTCCTTTGTAATTTATTGATTTAAATGGGGGGACTGGAATCTGCGAAATGCCCTTAAAACATTTAACTTTTTTAATTTTATTTTTTTATTGCATAATTTAATTTTCCCCCCTTCTGTTGCCCAACAGTGACTTGCCCCTTTTATTTTTGTGCTAATAAAATTATGAACATGTTAATTCCTTCCACTTATTTAGCTGCCAATTAATAAATTCTCAAAAATTCCATGTCCCCCTAGTTTTTCACATTTTCTTTGCTTTTTCGCCGCACTCTGCCCCCTGCCGGGCTGCCCTAGATGTGTCTGGCATATTAATGAACATTTGTTTCTTCGCCGGGGAAGGAAAATTTATGGGCTCAGGTTAAATTCCTGGGATTCTCCTCTGTCGTATTTCGGTGTTTGTTCAGTTCTGTTCGGCGCTGTTCATTTGTTAAATTAATTTATGTTTGTTGACTGTAAAATTTTTACAACATATTTTGCATGAGGACGGGGCAAAAGTATGTCTCTCGTTTAACCCTTTTGATGTATGGGGAATTTATATTTTTGTGACAGAAACTTAATGGAAACGGTTGGGAAAGCGCCAACTTGTGCAACTTTTGTTTGTTAATAAATAGTGCCAGAGGAGAACGGTTCGAGAACTGCTCGCCTTAATTTTCTGGTACATTTAATTCGTCCTTCTCTTATTCGGTGCTAGCCAGCCATATATCCCGACCTGACCCACACACATTATCTTGAATTCTAAACTCAAACTCACATACTCGGGCCCATAAATACTCACCGCCCGCCCCTCGAACAGACATGCCCGCCCCCTGAACTTTGACCCAAATGGCGGAGCTCATTTGCATAGTCGTCCTCTCCAAAAATAAAAGTACAAAATAGGGACTCCCTTAAAGTGAATTAAATATGAAATCTACTTAAATATTTGACTGCCCCGAGTGGAGCGCAGAGCGTCTCGTATGTGCGATGGTCCCTTAACCCATTCGTTAACCCCTATCCTGCCACTACCCCTTCCCCGCCAAAAAATATAAAACAAGCAACCCCCAAGTGGACAATCCAACAAAACAAAAGAACCCAGCAAAGCGAGTCTCTAATTGTTATATGTTTATCCGCAAAGCAAACTATGACCGCACCAAGAGACCTACTCCGAGACTAGGGGGTATCCTGGTCCAAGGACTTTCTCTCAGTGCCTGTGTGTGTTTGTGTTTGCTTTATCCCTCTAGTTGACTTTGGCAATTTTTTAATGTGCGCCACTGGCTCGGCACTCGGGACTCGGGAGTCCGGAGCCCAAAATGTATTTCTCTTCATTTTTTATGCATGTGCTGTGGGGTTGGAGGGCGAAAAAAAGGTTTGCGTGCCAAATTATTGTGCCAGTGGCCTAAAGCTTGTTTTTTTTTAGCCACCATTCCAGCTGGCTCATTTATTTCCTGGTTCCTTTTTTCTGTGCCAGCAGCCAAAACGCAAAGTGCGTTGTACTCTCTCCCTGTTGTGATAGTATGTTCGTGAACAGACTACCAAAAAAGTATCGATTTTTAGATTGTCCAACAGGACGTATGAGCGATGTAGGATGGTGGTTTATTAGAGCTTTAAAGACCCACATTTAAAAGTGGAAAACTCTTCAAGCTCCACTTAATATCTATTGCAGTAAGCATGTGGTAACTCCCAAGGATTGCATCTCCTTCGTATCCTATATCTCAGGCTTAAACGGAAGCATAAACTTGGTTCTCTTTGCTCCAATTCCCACCAACTCAACCAACTCTATCCTGGAACAATAAAAACGAGTTAAGGATCTCTAAACCATTTTAAACATTTAGTGGACCGCAGCATCAAAAAAGCGAAACAAAAAGAGTAGCACGAGCAGGAGCCTGGAAATGAACACAGAAACTGCATATAAAGATAAAATATTTCATTCGCCGGCTCTTGTGTCTTTTTTGTTCCGTAGACTTAATGCAATTGTCGCATTATTTCTCTCGTACTTCTCCGGCCACTTGGCGAAACACTCTGCGGAATGATATATACACGGCGACAGATATATATAAGAACATACATATATATTTTTAAATACCTCACACGAGCAACTATTCTTTTCGCCCATGCTCCTCTTTTTTTGGATGGCTGTTTGTTGTATTTTGGTTTTTATTTTGCCGCATGGCGTCTCGTCTGGCGTCTGCCACGGCGTCTGCATTTGCCGCGAGGAGTGGCAAGGGCTGCCTCTGGTTATTAAGCCATTTGGTGCTTCTTGGGAGTACGAGGGGCTGTTGCAAATCAAGCAAAGTGTTAAAAAAACCAAATTAAATTAAAATTCTTGGCCTGTAGAGGGTCGCCGCATCCCATATGCGCAAAGTTTTTATTTTCCCAGGCTTTAACATTATTTTCCTGGCTCAGCTTAAAGAAGACTAGTCAGGACTAAGGAGCTTATGTCGTCTGTACAACAAAATAGTTTATTTTTAAAATATACAAACAGCAAATCGACCCAAAGTGCATCAACTATTTAGAAGACACAATTTTCCATTTAGTTGTTTTGATTTTTTGGCAGCCTCCTAATTGCCAGCCTCGGAGTCCAAACAACAAAAGACTTTTCTTGCCAAGCGACCAAAAATTGCATTAATTATGGGAAGGAGGCGGGAAAATGCTGGGAAAGCTCTGGCCACTGCACTCCCTGGTGACAACAACAATTCATCTTTGATGGCAAGTGCCAGGAGAACTCATAGACACCCGAGACCCCGGACAATTTGTGCGTGCGAAATCTGGGAATTCGTTTCTTTGTTTTGCCAGGGAAGAGTGTTTGCCTATCCAATAATTCTGCGGGGCAAGACCAGGAGGAGGCCCCAGCCCCGGTCTCGGGGTCTCTGGGAAGAGGAGCAAATGCTAATCTTGATAAAAATAAACGCACTCGGGCACGTTGCTACAGAGAGAGAAAATAAAATTGCTACAAGTATTTCTTCAACTAGATGGCTTATTTCTTCTGGAGAAGAATTCTTCCTTATTGTATTGTCAAGCTTTTTGGGGATTCTTTATTTCTTTCCGTGTGGAGCTAAAGCGGGGCGAGCAAAGACAGCATCTCACGTTTTTCGTCGCATTTTCAATTTGCTTGGCATTTGCCTGCACTCTGGCCATTGTCAGTCGGCTACCCTGCCCCTGCCACGAATCCCTTGCCCCCACCCGACCCTTCCCAGACCTTCCGCCGCCGTCCTCCCCAGACCCCGGCTACCAAGTAAGTGAATATTAATATTGACTTTGTGTGCTCTTCGCATAGTTCACAAAAGTTTTTCACCTTTGATTGCTTGACTTGACTTGGCTCTCCTGCTAGGATGCCTTCCTTCCTTCTGGCTGCCTGTCTGAACCCTGACCTCACCTCGACTCCCCCCCAGTCACGCGGGACCCCTCCACTGCCATTTGTGGCCTTTAAAGTCAATGGCATGCTCAGCGGTTCTTTTTCCTGGAAAATTTATGTGCAAACTTTATGCGTGGCACACAGAGTCCTTGGCTTTCCTCGCTCGCTATTTCTATTATCAGCATTTGTTGCTCAGCCCTGCTCTGCTCTGCTCCGGTGCCTTTTTTGCCACTCCCCCTCCCGCCCACGCTCTGACATTATTTTCCCATTTTTATGGCATTTAAGTTCAAATGAGGAACGTGGGATAAGGATGCTGGCTGCCCCTCGGGTTTCCGGTTTCGGGTGTCACTCCTAGAGCTCCCCACCTGGGGAAACAGGAGACAAAAAATCCAAAAAACAGACTCCAACAATGTCAATATAATTAAATGAAGCTTATAAAACTGAAGAGGGAGAGGGGGAGGATGAGGGAGGTGTCCTGGGTCCTGGCATTTCTGGCAAGCACATACAACTTTGTTGATTGGATTTTTGGTTTAGCTGCAGTCATAAACTGAATGAATATGGTGGAAGATCTCGGAGGAGGGGCCATACCAGAAGACAAGCCTAAATGAGATGAGAAAATCCCGGAAGGAATATCTCGGATTATGGCCGGCTTAAAACTGTAAGTCCTGGAGAAAAACTTGTACAAAAATTGATAAGCCTGTTAAGGACGAAAATATTGATTAAAAAAGCTTCTGCCAGGCTGCAGTTTTTTGTTTGCCTTGAAAAGAGTCCTGGAGCATGTCCTTCTTGTTGATGCTTTGACACTCTTAGTTGGCCTTATTTAATTAACCCATTAAAACGAGCCGGGTTCGATCTGTTTCTGGCTTGCACTCAAAGTGCAGGCCCAACTTTGGACTTGTTGTTTGGCCTTTGACATGGCCCGAACCATTCGACTGCCGCTTTCGGCCACTTTCCCCCACGGGCAGGCAGTTTGCTTTCAAAATATTTGCCACAATGAAATCATGCTTGTTTGTGTGTGTGTTTGTGTGGCACCTACCACCCCGCCAACCACTTATAGGCCTCCAGCCCCCCACGCCCCACACATTTTCGGCGGCGCGGGCCACAGAGGGTTGCTTCAAAGTTGAGTTCGCTTGGCGTGCGAAAGTTTATTAAAAACTTTGTGTGCTTTTTGCAAACAAACACAAACACACAGCCACCCTGGCACACCCCCTACTCTCCCCACACCCTTCTTGTATTTTTGTAAAAGAAAGAAAACAACAAGAGCAACTGCCATGTGAAACTTAATAATTCACACGGGAGTGAATTTTTCACAATTTTCACTTTTTTCCCACTGCAGCCCAAAGAGGCAAGCGAAAGGCAAAAATAGCAAAGAGGAGGTTGGACTTTTTTTTTTTTGCCAATTTTATTGAAGCGTAAAATATGAACCAGAACCACAAAACTGAATGAATGAATGGGCGAGTGGGCGGGCTGAGGCGGCGAGGCTTCAGAGGATCCTGCGGAACACACACGCCTTGTGTGTGCGAGGGCTTTCAACTTTTGTTGACATTATGGACCCTCAAAAGTTTGCGTTTAACTCTTTATTATTTGCTTTACAGCTAGTTAGGGCTATTGTTCGCTGTGTATGCCTGGGCGGGGTCAGAGGGCAGGGCTTCTCGGTCCATTGTCTGTGCTTTTGTATGCAAATCGGAGCCCGAAAGACAGACTCACGAATGGAATTGAAAGGCCAGCCTCTGCTGTGCCCCCCTCGTTCATAATTTGTTAATTACTTAATTGAGTGTTGCCTTTCGGCAAACATGTAATTTCGTCTAAATGGGGGCTGCCAGCGTAAGAGGATTGGGGATTTGTATACACCAATTTAAAGCCAGGCATCTCTCTGCTTAAATATCTAGTCCTGTCTGCCGTTTGCTCCTTGATTTTTATGAATATGTATTTTTGGAATGGCCGCAACTATTAGACGCTCTGGCAGACTGCATTATGCAAAACTTATAAGCCATAAAATGCAGCCGACTGGGCCTAGACCCTGTCAGCAGGCCCCGCACGACGGCCCTGTCCCGGTAAGTCAGCAACTTTCGAATGCAAAGTTGTCAGCACAAAAAAGTTAACGCCTAGAGACCCGACTAAGCCGACTCTACGGTTCTCCGTTTCTCGGCTACCAGTTCTCGGTGCGCAGTTCTCAGGTTCTGTCTGAGTCTCGACTTTTATGAAATATTAGCCACCAACTTATGCACATAAATCTTGCAGTGTCGTACTTGCCGCAAAAGTTTTTCGTGAATGCCACGAAAAAAGGACCTCGAAGTGAAAGATTCCTCCCAAAAAAAGGTGTGAAAATAATGCAGAAGCCGACGTTGAGTCCTTTAAAATATCCCATTTCAAATTGCCAAGTATCTTCATTAAAATTTACGCTAATTTGCACAGCAAGTGCCAAGGATACTCTATTGGCAGCAGGAATGGCAAGGAACTAGGGTTTTGGAAATAGCAGCTAGAAGGGGAAAGGGTCTATTGTACTACAATATTAATATTAACTCATTTTGTCCTTCTTTCTTTATTTAAACAGCGCTCTTTGGAAGCCAACATGTCCGACAACAAGTGGTAACGTTTTAAGGCACCACAAACCGGAAAAGAGGAATAATTATTGAACCGGAAGCGGAAGAGAACAAGTAGTCAACACAAAATGGCCGCAAACCGAGAACAAGCCACAACAAGAACACCAGCCACAACGCCCACAAGCAGAAGCAGGTCCTGGTTAAGCGAAGGGATTCCAGGATTCTGCCTCCTACTGTCTTTGTTCATCCTCCTGCCCCTGGAAAGCCGGGCCTTCTGCCCCTCCAAGTGCCAGTGCCTGGGCGGGGAGGCCAACAATCGGGCCCTGTGCGTGGACGCCGCCCTGGAGGACGTGCCCATTCAGTTGAATCCCGAGACCAAGTACATAAATCTCACCCTGAACCGGATAAGGAATCTGGCGTACTCGCTGCCCTTCTACGTGAAGCTAGAGATCCTGGACCTGTCGCAGAACATCATCGAGACGCTGGGCTCGAAGAACTTCGAGTACCAGTCGGAGCTGCGAACCCTGAACCTGAGTCGGAACCTGGTCAGCTCGCTGCACAAGCATGCGTTCAAAGGACTCACTAACCTGCTGCTGCTCGACTTAAGTTTCAACCGGATTGAGACAGTGCATCCCACGGCCCTCAGCGATCTGGCCGCTCTCGTGGAGCTGGACTTGACCAACAACAACATCGTGAGCCTGGAAGACAACTGCTTCAAGGGCATGGGCACCCTGGAGGTGCTGGTCTTCCGGAACAACCGGCTGCTGGACGTTCCGGCCACCAATCTGTGGCACCTGCACGCCCTCAAGTCCCTCGACATGTCCGACAACCTGGTTGAGTTCGTCCGGAACGACAGCTTCGAGGGACTCAAGGAGCTCTTGGCGCTCAGTCTCAGGGGCAATGTGATGAGTGAGCTCGACGTCAGCGCCTTCGAAGGACTCATCTCGCTGAAGCATCTGGATCTGGCCGACAATAACTTAACGGTTAGTATAATTTATGATATATATTTTAAAGTTTCCTAATCACAAATCAACCCCTTCTCAATATTTAAAATCCGTTTTGTTTAAACGAAGCCCCAAGTGTGAAATTGAACAAACACTCGTGCCTGGCTTGACTCATAAATTTAGACACTTTGCCAGGACGAAATCCTGTGAGCAACACTTTGCCAAAGCGGATTTCCCAACCCCCCTGCCTCGTTTAAGTTGGTCCTTCCTGGCTGGGAGTTTTGCCTGCATTTTGCATACGCAAAATTAATAACCATAACTCTCGTGTTTCGCACACACACTAGCTCACACGCACTCGGCAATGGAGTCCTTTCGGCCGGCCCATGTCCTTTCTGCTATTTATGCATGCAAACATGTCCGTGTCGGGCTGATTTCTGCCGTTTTTGCCGCTCCAGTCCAGTGGGCGATGTTGCATGGTCTTTGCTCAGGCCGCCCCCCTCTCTATTCTAGTTCCTACGCCCGTTTCCTGGCAACTGAGCTTGCTTTAAGCCCGCAACTTTACGAGCAGACAGTAGACAGTCCTGCAGGAGCGTCGAACTTAAATTGCGGAGGTCAAGATAAAGAAATGCGAAGAATCTCGAACTCGAGTGCTCAAACTACACTGTCTTTGGAGATTTAGACGCCAAATAGTGCTGTGAAATGCTATCGATTATCGCTCTTTAATATCTGCCTTAAAGCAAGTCCTTTAAACGAGACGGCCAAATCATTAGAACACGGTAGCAGAGCTTTCGGTCGAGTTGAGCATAAATCCCCAGGCTCAAAGGTGAAATTGCATGTCCAGCGTCCTTTTCCACAGCCAGAGACATGGAAACGAGGGGCCTCCCAAGCCAGAAAGTCTCCAGATATGCGTTTTTATGTAATCAGAGACAGGACAGCACTGAGAGAAATCTGGAAAGGAATGGCCTTTCAAGAAGCATCTCTCCTGACAGAAGTAAAAATATATCCTTCAGTGCAGTTATAGGTGTAGTTGGCAACAGCAGCCGACTGTTTATGCAAACTGATGGATGCAACGCAACCGAGTCCAGGATCCGCCTCCTTTCACTCCGTGCCCGGACGTGCGGGAATCCCGGGCCGGCACATACTTATGGTCGTTACGACGGGATAAAGTGTGCGTGTATGTCCTGTCTGATGGCTGCACAAGGATTTCTAAGCAGGTGCAACAGCAGCAGTAGAGGCAGCAGCCAAAGCAGCAACCGCGTAGTCAACGGCAACTGACGTTGCTGAGGAATTTATGGCGCTCGGAATCAGTTCGAAACTACTTAAAATACCTTTTGGCATTTTGTAGTTGAAATATGGTCTGCCATGGTCTACCGCCCCCGTTTCGCTCACCGACCACCGCCCATCCTGCGAGTCCTGCAAACCTGTTTGGGTATTTTCAAATGGCATTCTTTTTCCCATTGGACAGATTGTTGTTTTATTATGCAGGAAGCGGGGAAGGGTGAGTGCAGGATCCGTGGATCTGCCCCACCGACATTCTGCCCCATTTTGGCATGTGGCTAGTATATAAAATTGTTGTCTACATCTGCATAGTTTTCCCGGAAAGGAGCCGGCATTGAAGGGGCATTTGTCTGGAGTCTGTAGAATGCAAAAGTTGAATATGATTTATGAAGTGTGTTGAATTGAAGCTCAAACATGAAGCGGTCTTTCTCTGAAAAGCATATACCATTGACTGAGAATTAATTTCAAAAGGATTACCATTACCAATAGTAATGTTGCTCAATTTGCTGAACAGAGATCCAAAATAAAATGAAATAAATGGAAAAAGTAAACATTTTCCATAATTCTAACTGTGATTCCATTTTTCCATCATTTTCGATTCAATTGAATCTGTTTTAAACTCTGGACAAATAAAATCATTTTATTTGAATAGGAGGCACGGACAGGAATAACTTGTGCACAATTTTACATTTTCATAATTGGGAAAAAAATATTTTGTTCGCAAACCAGAGGCAGGAGGTTGATTTTATTCACTAAGTGCATAAATATACACAAACACGGCACTCATCTCTCAGATTAAACAGAATAATTTCGAAAATATTCCGATACACAAATGTATATAGTTTTGATTTTATTTTTACTGCGAACTGTGTGTATTTATTTTCATTTTTTTTTTATACATTTATTGCATAAATTTTGCGTTTCGATGCACAACTGCAGAATCGTTATACTGGAAACTCTTATGTTGTCTTTTCTGAGAATTTCCCCATATGTGCGTCGGGGGTAAATAAATAATGTTTAAGGTCGAAAGGGTTAAAGTGTGTTGGCTTTCAAGTTTTGCGTTTTATTAGATTCATTTCTTTTAGACTCTTTTTAGACCTCGAAGCAAAAGGGAAATGGGAAATTAAGTTGAATAATCAAAGTCAATATAATTTCACTTTCTTTTCGGGTACTTTTCCACAGTTTCCACTCACAGGGGGGGTTGCAGGGGGAAAAGCGTTTTAATTAGTCCAGCAGTCGGCGCTTTCCTTTGAGAGCAGTACAAACATAAAGGGTGGAAGTGGAAGGAAAAAACTGTTGCCATTTGGTTAAACAATTGCCCGGCCTGGCCTACATTGCGTATGCGTAATGCTTTTTAATTTTCAACCATTTTCGCCAGTGCCTTATGAGCTGGGACTTGCGTTTGAAATCATTTGCCATACTGCTCCCTGTGTTTTTCCCAGTTTTTCCTGGTTTTCCATGCCATTTTTTTCCGGCTGCCCCCAACCTAGAAGTTCATTACGTTATCGCAGAGTGTGTTCGTGTCCGGACGCTTGGCACGTAGCTTCCGACACGCCAAGGGAGGGAGTTGGCAGCAGTGGGATGAAGGGCTAACAAAGGAAGGGCGGGGAAGGTGAACACAACAGGCGCCCAAAATTACAGCCAAAAGCTTTCGCCCGAAAGGAAGCCTTTTCTTTTATGCATGCCACACTCCTCGAAGCTGTCTTGCTGCTTGTAACAAATTCGTTGCAAGATTGATTTTATTGCCCCCGAAAACAGAGACGAATTTGTTGGCCAGCGAGTGATTGGTAACGAAAAAAGGGTAGCAGGAGAGGGGCCAGCAAACCGGGCCGAAAAGGAAGTACATGACGCGCGTTTCCGCTTCCGCTGCAGTCGCTTTACTATTGATTGTTACTTGTTTTTTGGTTTTTGTTTTTTTCCTAGTTCTCTACCATTGTAGGGTTGGTTCGAGGGATGACCCTCGACCCTCGGGCCGACCGCAAAACGTTTTTGAGCTGAGTGGCCAGCATTAATATTTGATGGGATCCATTCAGCTCGATAAAAGTTTTCATTTTTGTTTTGAATGCTCTCTAAAACGAAATACCTCTATCATTTTTTATTGCAGATGGTGCCCACCCAGCAGCTCTCGAAACTTTCGAACCTCACCTATCTCAACCTGGGCGGGAATCGCTTCTCCCAGCTGCCCGCCGTCGCCTTCCTCAACTTGTTTCATTTGCGCGAGCTGCACTTGAGCCGCCTGGACTATTTGCAGCACATCGATTCGAGGTAAGTTGCCCCCCGACTGTTCCAAACTTTTTCAAACACCCGAACTGGGTCAGAGAAAACGAAACTATTTGCTCCTCGGGGCGAGAGCTAACAATAAACAAGACAGCAGGCACCCTAAGAGCCTGTCGGGCTTCCTCAAAAGTTTTACGTCTTTTTTCCTCTTCCAGAGGCCAAAGTTCAGTGTTGCGGCTATAAAATAATTTGGAACTTAACTCCAAGGACCTAAAGTCAACACTAAGCTAGTCTAAGCTCTTAATTATCTTGTGTAGAGTTTAAACGCCAACTATTTTCCTTAAAACTTGCTTTGGCAGATGAATCTTTAAATGCCCCATTAAGTAGGCAATAGGTTGTCGAAGCCCAGCTCACAAATGGGCTTTGGATGGGCAATTGAAATTCGAAAACTCTTTGAGCCTCCGACTAATCATACAATTCACTTTCACACACTTGCACGTGACCTCCACGCCCAGGACCTCAAAGCAAATAAGTGCACTGAAAATAAATTAATAATTTGAAATGTTTGTGCATAGCTTGTTTAGATTAAGTCCTTAAGGCTCATAGGGTTAGGGCCTTAGTTGTTATTTCCTGCAAACTATAACTTTTGTGGGATTTAGAACTGAGTTTTATTTTTCCCAGTGTACTGCTCAGCTGCAGAACTAAGCGGCAGACAAATCATTATTGCTCAATGCAATCAATCATGCCTAATACGCTTTGGTAATAAGATGCCACCGCACAAACGCCAGACGGGTGGTTGTGGGCGGCTGGCTGGCAGAAGCCTGAAGGCGTGGCATGAGAGAAATGCTTGAGCTCAACTCGAGCATATGTTAATTCAATAATTCCAGGCAATTTTCATATCAAATCAATGAGCGAGTCGGGCGGAGACCCCCTTTGACTTGGCCATGTCAATCAACCACCACCAGCAGTTGAGGCAGCATCATGCCTCGTGCCCGTGCCCGTGTCCGTGCCACGCCCTCTGGGCGACATGCCGCCTTTACAATGACATTAACATGACTTACATGACAAGTGCCGAGCGAGATAGAGATGGCTAGAGGATGTGCAGAAAGAGAGGCGAGAGGCAGCTCTTCATAAGCCATTTAAATGAGTTTAATTTGGAATTTTCGTTTGATTTTCTTGCCCCAAGTTTTGTGGAAGCTTGTCCTCGTTCATGTACATGCCACACGCCACCCTCTGCGCACCACCCTGGCTGCCTGCCCTCCGCCCTCAGCCCCGTCTGTTGGCCTTTGTAATTGCTTTTGCTTTTTGTTTGGCTTTTGTTTGGTCTCTGTCTCAGTCTTGTGTAAACTTTTGCCTCCCCCCTCGGCTTGTTCGCAGACTGTTGAAATTGTTGCTCAATCTGCACACACACAGCCATGTGTGTCCTGTACGGTGGTATGTCCTGTCTGTGTTGACTGATTTGCAAACTAAATTTCTGACAAACCAAAGGATTCACTGTCGCATTCGCCAGATTTTCCTTCCCTATGCTAATTTTTGAAGGGTATGCGTTGAAAGCTAGTTGAAAGGATATAAGTTGAGTTTCTTTAAAATATGTCCTGCCAGTTCTTTTGGTTCAAAGACATACTTTTCCGTACATGACATAATTTCCTGCTTCAAACAAAAGGAAAGGCAACGAATACAAAATTCATTTGTCGAAAGGAAGAAATATTGAGGAGGTCGGACGAACAATTCGTCCTGGGAAAAAGGAACACCCACCTTCACCGTACACTTTCCTTAAAGGAAATAGCGCAACACTTTAAAGTTTCAGAGTCAGAGTGAAGAGAAAAGTGGAAGGAGAAACCCATACCCCAAAAGACCGAAAGGACAAGCGACAGGGACATGTAAATATTTATGCAAATGCGTTAATGAAAATCTGAAATGCGGATAGGTTTGTTGGGTTGTTACAAAGTCAAGGACTGCGGGGAAAATGACGACGGAAGAGCAGCGATGGCGGCACGGTGATACCAAGGTTTATGGGGCGACAGAGGATACATTTCCCCATAACCCCGACATGTGTGTGCTTTTGCCATCCTTTCTCGTCCTCATCAGATCGCTGCTCATTATGGAAACCTTACACCTAAACAATCAGCGCGAGTCCTTGCAAAATTCATTAGGCAGCGGCACGTTGTCCCCAAAACTCCATCCACCACCCACCCACCGTTTGGTGGGGCAAACAACCCTTCGGCACAGGACCAGGAGCCCAAGGACAGAGGTGCAGGATATCAAAGGGAATATGAAGTGAACATGACTTAATAGCCAGAAAGCCAGTGTCTGGTAAAAAGGACCTTAGGTGTCGGTCGGTTTATTTGGTTGCGGATTTCAAAATTGAAACTAATTGTTTTAAAATTCATGCGCGGTGGGGAAGGACATGTGTGACATTTGTTTTGCGGCAGCTTTGGGGTGGTTTTCATGCTCCCCAAAAAATGTTTGACCCTGCCTTCTGAATCCTGGGGATAATTCATCCAATTTAAGTGAAGTTTAATGGCATGGAAGTTGTTCTTTAATGGCTTGGAATTCAGAGTGTAGAATGGATTAGGAAATTAAATATTTTTAGTAATAAACTAACTTTAACGATAATTGAGTTGACTATTCAGCCCCTTTCTCTTTTCATTTTTCACCTGTAGCCAAGTTTTGAGCTGTTGCTAACTCATTATGCCAATGTTTAGCATTATTTAAGTTCCCCTCCTTGTTGTCAGGCCTCTACCCGCTTCAAGTGCACCCGAGAGCTGGGAAACATGCATATGCATAAATAGACAGTCTTAGAATTCACCCCCTGGCCTCTGTTTTTTGGGTAAATACGCATAATAGCTACTCACAAGCTGCTGCTGTAGCTGCCACCTTGAAATACTTCCCAGCTCATAATTTATGGAAAAATATGGCCAAGAAAGGAGCAAGGAGGGGGCAGCTCAGGCCAGGGCGGACCAAGCCAGGCCAGGCCAGGGCAACATGTTTATGTTTTCCTGTTTCCGTAATTTCTTCCTGTCTTCTGCAGCCCTTTCTCTGGCCTTTGTTATTGTTGTTAGCTTGCATTTTTTAAGCACTCAGTCTCGCGAAAATATTCATTGCATACTTTTGTGAAAGACAAATAGACGAACTCGGGTTCAACAGGGTCCTGCCATTGTGTTGTTGTTGGCTCTGCCTTTGTTTATTAAGATCCTGGCATCTCCGCCCTGTTGGCTCATTAAGCTGACACATTTTCCTCCCCGATGCTGCAGCGTTTCATTTAATTAGGGGCCAGAAAAAAACTAACTTTCTACTGCAAATGGCAGTCCATTGAGTGTGTATTGAAAGTTCCATTTAACGTCCACTTTAGGCCCTCTTGTCGTTCATTGGAAAACATGAAGAATGTCGCCAGCACAAATGTTGTCATAATTAGCTCTCCACGTATAGTTTTTCAAGTTTCTGACATAATTAGATGACAAATATAAAGTTTACCTTTTTTTAAAGCGACGGAATTCTTTTCATAAATTCCAATCAAACTTTGCAGAATAGATTCACTTTTCGTCGCACATCTCCCTTTCAGGAATTCAGTCTGCAATGCACTTTATGGAAAAAAGAAAACTTCCAGCTTGAATGACTTTTTTCTGCAGGATACTTGCCTGCAATGTTATTCATAAATAATCTATAATTATGTGAAATTAAAGGGTCGGGAATGAGAGCTTTTTCTGTCCCTGCCATTCCTGTCACAACGCCCACTTGGGTGGATGGGTGCGGCAAATTAAAGGACCTTACAGGGCGTATGCGTAATTTAAAAACGTTTAAAATGTCATTAACAAATTGCGAAGCCATATTATTTGATAATGTGTCTCTGGGCCAAGTCGATTGCGTGTTGGCAGGCAAGATTACGGGCTTAAAAATGCAGGGGCGGGGTAGTTGTCAACCAGGAAAGTCTGCAGGGCTCATTGAACTTCGGGACTGGGTCCTACGGTCCAAATCAAAATCGAGTGCCCGGACTCAGTCAATGGAGCGCATATGCAGGGAGTTAGCATATCTCTTCTCATATTTTGTTGTGGCTGAAATGTCAATCAAATGAATAGAGAGAAGAGGATTTGCGGAGCTGAATCGACGAAAGGATTGACTGCCATTCAAAACTATATCCAAAGCGACTGACAAACTGTTTGACAGACTGACTGATTGACTGTCCAGACAGGCTAGCTGGCAGGATGGCAGGATGGCGGGATGGCAGGATGGCAGTGTGAGTGAACTCTGACGCTGTAAAGTCCTGGAAATCGTGACTGAACCCTGAGCGAACATGGACAGCAAACATTTCAATCGGATTCCCAGCAATTCCAATTCAGATTCGCACACACATTTGCATATGAGTAACCCAAAAGAAGCAAACGGAACAAGGCAAACATTTATGCCTCATACACACACACTCCGTACACACACATGGCAGCCATTTCCGTTTCCGCACGTTTGACGTTGGTGAACGCAGACAAAATGGAGGAAAAAAGAAAGCCCCCAAATAAAGGAGGCCCAGAGGAGGACGACGAGAGTCAGTCAAAAACATGAAACATGCAAAATGAAGTTGGAATCGCGGGGCGAACAAACGAAAACCAAAACCAAGCCCCAACCAAAATCAAAGCCAAACAGCAAAGAGGTGGATCGCAGTTGCCAGGTCCCCCAGGACCCCCGGTCTGTTTGCCTTGTCACTTGGTTTTTTAGGCAGTTGCACTTTAAAAGCCCAGAGCCAACAACAGGTCGATGCGATGAGTTAAATCATCAACCTGTAGAGTCCAAAAGCCCGCAAAATCCTGCAAAAAGTTTCTTACGTGGTTTTCTCCTTCGGTGTCACGTTTTTGGGTTGTTTTTTTGTGTTTGTCGCCCGCTAGCTCGCTGGCTGGGTTATTTGCATAATATTTGCACAAATAATTGAATTTATTTTTTGCTCGTGTGGCTCGCAGCCGGCTAAACTGTTTTGGGCAAATTTCGGCTTATGTCGTATGCAGACAGAGTTTGTTTTGGGATCGCTAGTTCCCCGCCAGAGCCTGCAATTGAAGCTTCTTTTTCACGTAGTTAAGTTAAATGTTAAACTTGCCATGAAATTGAATGTTCGAATGGCGGAAAGATAGTGCTGGAGTAGGTGAGCCCGCAAAGGAGCTATCCGTATGATAAGTGTGTCTGGTTGGGGTTGTCTGAATCAGTATTCGAGATGAAATTAAGGTTAAGGGGATTTGCAAGTACAGATTTTCAAGACAGAACTTTCAAATGGAAAGGCAGTGGTTGCACTTCCTTACAGAGTCCCTTTCCTGTTTACATCTATTGATTTAAACCAGTATTTTTCTCGGTGTGAGGTTTAATTAGCCGCCCGGCTATCTCGTCCTGGCACTCGTCCCATCTTTTATTCCCGTTCGTTTTAATTATGCAGAATGCACGATGCATCAGCAGTAGCATCAGCGTTAAACTTAAACGCCAGGCAATGAAATACATGAATAACATACATACATCCAGCAGTTCCAGCAGCTCAGCCGGCATACCCTCCCCACACACATGACAGCGTCAGCTCCGACTTAAGCGACATGGATTTATTTTGCCTGCGTCTATTTCAACTTAATAAAAGCAGTAACAGGAGCGGCGTTGGCAGGACGAATGTAGGGGAAATAAAAAGGGCAGAGCATAGACTGAGGGAACGGATGGGAGGGAAGGAATTAAAGGAGCTGAAACCAGCAGCAGGAAGGACGACGGCGGCAGCTGACACAAGCTGCATGTTATTCGGGCTCCGTGGAGCGTTGTCGTAAATCCCTGCCAAGTTAAGTCAACGCGCTAAGTCGCTGACTTGGAGAAAAGGATGCAAGGATGCGAGGATGTGTGCCCTGAGTAGGGCAGTGCATTACTCGATGGATAAGACGCCAGAACCAAACCCTACCGATCCCAGTTTCAGATGTTGCTGCTGCAGAACGCAGTAAGTGCAACGTGGCGTATGAGCAACTTGGCGGAGTGGAGAAGCAGCAGGAGTAGGAGGTCCTGACTCGACTTGCTCCGCTGACACAAAGCGAATTTGTCGCTTTTAAGCGTTCTCAAGCAGGCAACATTTCATTTCAATACTTGCCGGCTGCATTTCATGTTAAATGAACGCATTTATTGCAGTCGCAGTTGCAGTTTCAAGGATCCCTGCTCCTGCGTCTGGATACACACGTCTGGTATATCCTGCAGCCCGAAAGCGCATTGATTTGATAAGTGGCCGCATTTTGTTAGACGCTTCGGGACGTTCAGTCGACTATGACGGGAGTGATGAATTCCAAATGCAGTGCCAATGGGAACGAGAATTGTTTGTCGGCACTGAGGGCGGAATTCATTAAAGTGAATGATGACCCAAAGGAGTTAAAATTGGGAAAGCTTGGGCGGTTTGGGAAAAGTCTTTTATCAAAAGTTACAAACCATCGAATTATTTTAGAAATCAATCTTATTAATCCTTATTCTCTTCTTTCTTCCAGAGCCTTCGTGGACAACACCCACCTGCAGACCCTGCACCTGAACAACAATCCCCAGCTCAGCGACATCCCCATGCGCCTCTTCCAAGGCAACCCCAACATCCTGGAGGTCTACATGCAAAGCAACAGCCTGCAGACGCTCTACTCCGCCCAGTTCCCGGTGGACCAGCTCCAGAAGCTCTACCTCGGCGACAATCCGCTCCAGTGCAACTGCTCGCTCCTCTGGCTCTGGCGGCTGGTGACTGGAAACTTCGAGGGAGTAGACCCTGGCCTGGAGCACGCGGCCGGCGGAGCAGTGGCTGCTCTGGCCAAGGAGGCCGACTCCGGCTTGATGGACGACGAGGAGCAGGCGGACGACGCCACCGCCGTGGCCAGCACGGACGACGGGGTGGCTGCTCTGGCCGCCTACATAGCCGATCAGCACATCGTGAATGCCCTGCACACCACCGAGCCGAGTGCATATGAGCTGGCCACCTCAGCCTCGAACAGGAACACTGGAATCCTGCGCATGGATCGCCAGCAGATCGGTTGCGACATCTGGCGGGACAAGGTGCGCACCCGGAGGCAGCTACTCTCAATGAGCGAGGGCGAGATCACCTGCCCCGCCCACATTGTGACGGTGGTGTGCGCGGTGATCACCTGCCTCCTGGTGGTGATGATCGGCGTGAGTGTCTTATACTACCTGCGCTTCGTCAAGCGCCGCAGGAAGCTGCTCCACGAGCGAGGACCCCTGAGGACGAGCAAGTCTATCATAAACGTGCACGATCGCATCCTGCAGGGCCACACCTCCGGGGGCCTGAGCATGAGCATGACCCTGGGCGGCGGCCACCATCACACCAACGGCCTGGGCATGGCCCTGAACTATCCGCATCACGCCCAGACCCTGCAGGCGCATCACCACTACCACCAGGCCACCATTCCGCTGCAGTCGCACGGTGGCGGCGTGGGGCACGAGTACCAGCAGGCCACCCTGCCTCAGCTGGACAAGCTGGAGCTGGAGCGCTACCTGGCCGCCCAGACCATTGCCAACGAGTACCGGGCTCTGAAGCCCTGGGAGCTGCCCGTGAAGGAGGCGGCAGACGACGAGCCGGAGCATCTCTACGAGCGGTTCGACCACTACGAGTACCCGGACACACACACCATGACCAAGCTGAAGCAGGCGGCGGCCCTTAACCACTCCACCACCACCTCCTCCGGCGGAGGAGCCCCCTCTCCGGTGCCGAAGCCACACGTGGTCTACGTATGACGTGGCCGTAGCCAGGGCGAGAAGAGGGGTTTCCAGGTGGGCACGGATATGGAAATGGTGGGGCTGAACCACAGCCACCACATCCACAACAACAACAACTACAGGGGCTGTATGCAGAATGGGCAGTTCTGAGCTGGAGACTTTGGGGACTCATCCGGAGGAAGAGGAAGGAAAAACAGGGAACGTGTGGGGCTAACCTAAGGATGGAGGCAGATGATTACAGGGTGTATTTGGCAGAGAGATGTGACAATTAATTTCTAGTTTAAATTTCACTTCCAAAACCCTCTACTATTAAGCCCAAAACAATGATGGGTTTGTCAAGTCAAAGCATATGTTTGGTTACAAAGCAGCTCCAGTAGAACATTATGTAAATAATTTAAAAGTTATCAAGTCAAAGGGTCAATCCATCTGCCAAATACACTCGTCAGTTTAGGTTGCATTGCATTTTTTTCTTTGGATTAACAAAATATTTAGAAATGAGTCGAGTCACTCGCAACAAAGTTTAACAAGCGTCAAATGAAACAAGGGATATGTCTACGTGTATAGGAAGCATACAAATATTCTTAATGACTTACCGCATAACAGATACTACTCATAAGATACGTATACTAACCGCTAGCCTAAGGAGGGAGTACGATTTCAAAGAAACACCCATGCTGGCCCCAAAATACCATAAGTAAGCTAAGCTGCATTCAAGTCTCACTCACTCTTTCTCTCACACTCATAGTTACAGTGGCATTTTGCATTCGAATATCTAGATAGCGTTAGTGGGTAAGGACCTTACAAGTGAATTTAAATAATTATTAATACGAATACGGACATGTAGGAGAGGCGAGGGATGGGTGTGCAAGCTAAAGGACCTTTGACTTCGTTGATTTTCAAGCTTTGCTGAACGTGGCCCATGCTAGGTCGACCCCTACCCTGGCAGAAAAAAACACACAAGAAGAAACCAAATGGGGACCAAATAGTCCAGTCCAGCCCAGCCCGAAAGTAACCGAAAGAACCCAGCTGCCAAAGGGGGATAGCCTCATGGGCCACGTTCCAAAGTTTCCTATCTGTGGAGAACAAAAAACATCTCGAATGACAATATACGAGGACGTAGGCGGGAATCTAAACAAATTAACTTATAACACCTACATTAATCTAAATCTTAGTGAGCCAGAACTCAAAGTTAAAAAATAATAATATAATTTGTAAATAGCTCCACTGTACGATTACTGTAAATAATTTATGAAATGCATTTAAAGGCATTAGTCAAATGCACAGATTATTGGTTTAAGAATAAATCATTTTTAAAAAACAATAATTCGGAATCAAAGCTCGTTTGTTGTTAGTTTTTCGTTTGACTGTGAGTTTGATTTTGCGAATAATAATTTAATTAAAAGCGGCGACAACAGCAACGCAAATAGCGAGCCAAACTAACCGGTATTTGCATAAAATAGCCACAGACACACAGGCACACACAAAAAGGCGGAAAAGCAAGTGTAAAAAATATATATTTCTGAAATAAAAAATACATATACTGTATGTCTGTATACTAACAATAAAATAAGCAAAATCAAAAGGCAGCCGAGCAGCACTGCACGGAATGCATTTAGAAAAGCACACAGAATCACAGAAAACATGAAACAGGACTCTGAAAATGAAATCTAAATAATAATAAAATAAAACCCCAGTTTGTGTATAAACGGGCCGAGAGCCAGGCAGGCGTAAGTTTAAATTTAATAATAACGATATACGCAAAAATATTTAATTAAATGATAGAAACACCCACAGCAAAAGCAACAAAATGTTATTTCTTATACGAAGACTGAAGAAAATGATGAAGCGAAATAAAAGAAACAAGAAATTAAAAGAAAAGTCTTTCTGTTGCCGAAAAGCAAAAGTGACAACCTGGAAAATTGTGGGACTGTTTGTAATAAATCAAGGATTTGCCTAGATGAACTCACCAGGTCCTTGAAGTCCTTTCCCCATTTGTAGCATAAAATACGACAAATCTAGGGGCCTGCCTGCTGACGGCAGTCGGCAGAACAAAAGAAATCCATGTAAAAACAAATAAAATGCTTGTACTTCCTTGCATCCAGCGAGTGGCCCCAGTGAACTGCAAAAGAAGGCATAAATCCTGGGAACAAACATAGCCCACACCCTTGTTAGGATAAGTATGTAGCCGAAGTGCCTCGGGCAGTGGCAGCCCAAAATATGGCTCAGTAAACCAAAGTAAGTAAAATATTTACTGGCCAGTCAATTGTGTTGAGTTGTAGGTCTGCGCCAAAGCCCTTAAGTCCCAGCGAGCTACTGCAGTCCTGCAAAGGAATCTTGACAGCCAGTTAACCTACGTAGTATGCTTTGATTCATTATAAATTCCACTTGTGTTATTTTTGTTAAATATATTAAGAAAAAATCCCAGTTCTTTGAAATGGCAACAACGGCAGCGCTGAAGCAAGGAGACGACGGATTTGGAACGGTTTCCATAATTTTTTACACAGCTGTTTCCGAGGCGGAAGAGACTACAAGGAGTCCCGGGTTATTTGGCGGGGGCTTTATAGCCCTGATGGTGATCTTGGTGATCCTGGTCTGCCTCTGCATCATATGTCTGCCGCTGCTGTTCCTGTGCGGCTGCTGCGGGATGGCATGCTGCGGCTGCTTGGCGTGCTGCGAGGAAGGACAATGCTGCGGCGAAGGATGTGGTGGCGGGGGCGGTGAAGGTTGTTGCGGCGATTGTGGTGACTGCGACTGCGGGGATTGTGGCCCAGACGATTGAATCACTTTTTCCATCATACAAAAAGCTTACCATCACAAAGTAAACTTTTTGGGGTGCTTCAGTGAGTAGGCTTTCTTAGACATTAGACTTAATTTAAAATTTTTACTTGGTTTACACATTCCTAACTTTCTACTTTTCCACAAAAAAAACCGACGATGGCTGATGATTCAGACAGTCCTTCGCTGGATGAACCAAGCGGAACTACGATCAAGGATGGCCTACTGCTTGTATCGCCTATTATGCACTGGACCACCACGCAAGAGCCACTTATCATAATGGGCGCCTATGGCCTACTGTTCATACTTCTGGTGATTGCCGCCATCGTTCTGGTATGCACGCTCTTCATGATGCTCCTCACGTATCTGGGCTGCTCGAAGGCCTGCCAACGCTGCCGCTACCTGAACCGCGAACTGTTGTAGTCCTTTCAACAGCGTCCTTGTCGCCTATTAAAAAGGAACTAGGAACAACATTTAAATTTGTATCCAAGTTTTAAAAATTATCCAAGTAGTATGTCGTATGAATTGATTCCATATAAATTGAAGTTCGTTATGTATGAAACACCTGAGTTCGAATGGCAACTAATAGATTTCTGGCACGATATGCTTGCATCCGGCGGCGGCGGATAACACGACAAGAAGACAAGTAGGATTAACTTCTTTGGCTTCAATGACCTCATGATCATGCTCATCGCGATCCTTGTCTGCATCATCGTGCGACTGCTTCTGGGCTGACAGGTTGCTGTAATCCGGGCAGCAAGGAAGGCAATAGGGATGGTTGCCCAGATCTAGTTTGCCCGAAGGTCCGCCAACGCTGCCGGAAACTTAACTGCGAGCTGCTGATGCGTGCATTTTGAATGTGTCTTTGGAAAAATCTATAAATTTATAACGAAGTTGTAAAAATTAAAAATTAATATCTATTTTTCGATATTTTATTTTACTTTTTTCCTTCTATGTGTTTGGGAAATTGGTCTTCACAATCGTAGTCTTTGAAATATTTCCCCCGTACCTCTAATAGTGAGACGAATGTAAGCCGATTAACCACAGCCCGGATGATTACCAGAGAACACTTGCCCCTGGGCAGGAATTTTCACACAGATTTCCCTCTTGGGGCTGAGTGCATAAATTCCGGGCATCTGTGCAGCTGCACGAAGGAACACAAAACACTCGTCCTAGTCCTATTCCTAGTCCTATTCCTAGTCCTAGAGCAAGTCCAAGTCCAAGTCGTAAATGCACTCAGCACTTTGTCAGCTCTCAGACAGGAAATGCAGTTGCCATTTTTCTTTTATACCCGGCACTTTCCACCCAACTGGCAGCCACCGACGGCCACACCCCCGGAAAGTATTTCTCCAACTGTCTACATTTTTCACTTGCCATCCATAAAAAGTATCAGTTTTAGTTTCAGTTTTAGCTCTCACATGGCAACATGGCCAAATGGCTACACGGCTAGTGTGTCTTCGTGCCAGTCTGTTGTTGTGACGTCTCAATTTTTTCCAACGCTTCCATATTCAGTTTCATAATTCTGCCCCGAAGTTCTTCCTTCTTTTCCGAGGCACATGACAAAGTTTTCATTGCCGCCAGAGCACAGTTTCCCTCAGCCGTTGAAGTGCATTAAACAAAGCTCTCAAACATTGTTTGAGTGCAGAAAGGACGTGTTCAAAATGTGTTACTTAAAAATGGCATTTACGGACAAAGAACTTCTTGGATTTTAAGGCTTTCCCACAATAATTGCGTTTTGTTTGAACAAGCTTTTTGCTATAAATACTTTTTATTATATACTTGCCGCTTAGTATGTACTCGTGTGGATGTTTAATTCTCTTATCAGTCTAACCTAAAGGCCTTTTGATCCGAGGGCCTAATCTGTGAACTTGCCCAGCCACTGGACGAAATCCCTCAGCTTCTCAAGTCTGGGGGGGCCGCCCCGGCTGAGCGTTCTCTTCCAGCGTCTCTCCACCGCCAGCCTGTCCTCGTTGTCCAGGGTATCCATGTGGCGCTTCAGCTTTCTGTAGATCACCCTGTTCAGCTGGGTAGTCCGGGTCTGGACTGTCCGCTTCCAGCGATCGAATCCATTGCGCTCCAGGCAAAGGGAGATCAACTGACTCTCGATGCTCGATAGCTCCACGGGGTCCCCCTTGGTGTCTGAGTCGAGATAGTCCTCCACCACATCGTAGAAAGCATTTAGCTTCTCCTCCGTCTTAGTCTCATTTACGGCGGTAAAGGCGTCGAATCTATCCAGGTAGCCCTGGATTATAGAATTCTGGGAGTCCAGGATGAGTAGGTCCTCGACTACACTGTCCACCAGCTCGATGGCCTGGGAGACTAACTGATTGCTTATAGTGGCTATAGCTTCGTCCGATTGTTGGTATAACCTATGGCGACTCTGATCCCCGGAGCATTGAATCACCGAGGGATACAGCTACAGATACAGAAAAGAAGAAAATAAATTTGGGTAGGATAGCTACTTGTGTCCCGACTTACCATGGATAGGAACAAAGAAACCAGAATCTTGGTATAGCTCATTGTGAACTGCTTCGCTCAAATGCCGTCTGTCTACTGAAATAACTTTGCCCGCCGATTTAACTCGGAAGCAGCACCAAACCATAGATAGTCTTATCTCCATTCGAAATTTCCATGCCGATTCAGAGGCGCTTGTCTAATTGATAGAATTTATAATTATTTTATTTATAGATGACACATGACGGCACAAATCTAATGACGTTTCTTGGAGTGAAGCACCTCTTAGATAAGGTCCGGCATTATAAGATTTACAATTCATGAATGGGACTCAACTTGCGGTGCTTTCTGTGATTCAGTTCTAGACAGAACGCTTTTTATCTCTCCTCATGGCAGCTGTGATGTGAGAAATGTGTCCCAATCGGTAAAAAAAAAAAGGCAGAGCCGCACAGCAAAACTATTCATGGCGTATACGCAGCGTTGTCCCGACAATAATAGTAAAATAAAAAGTCCACTTAGTCAGCAAAGCCCCCAGGACAATGGAATGTGTCTGTGTGTGTGTGGAGCTCTGTCCTGTGATAAATGCCTGAACTAGGTCAGTGGCGGATGATGATGGAACTCGGCAGAAAAACCGGAAATAAAACGCCGATTTTTCGTATCAGAGTTTTGAAATTAAGTCGCTGATACGTCCCTGCCCCATCCAGCCACCATTTAGAGTTTTTCGAGTGGCCAACAAATCCCCAAAGCGCGCAACTGCAATTTCAACTCTGATAAGCGAAGTTTAGTACCACTAAAGGCCTTAAAGCCAGTAAGACCTTAAAGCATAACCGAAGCTAATATACCCTGACAGAGATTGTGGCAGGTACTTGGTTGAATACTTGTCTTATCGGTGAATGTTATAACTTCCAGAGATGGCATTTTCGAGTGCTAATGAATTCATTCAGAACCTTTATGGAGACAAGTCCTATGGAGATTTAGAACCTTTATGGAGATCAGTGACTCAAAAGGTCAAATTTTTGTCCAAAAAAAATATGTATCATTTGATTCTAATTTTTTGGCATTTCTGTGTGGAAAAATGTTTATAACTCGACTAATACTTGGCAGATCCACAAATGTTATACATTCCCGATCATAGCTCTTCTGGAGGCATCCTTTTTAATCAAAACCTGGATGTCAAAGTAACATCATAATTTTTGCCAAAAATTGTTAAAAAAAATTTATTTTTCGACTTTTATATTTGAATGTAGATATAAGGAGACTAGAATCCCGATTCATAAATGGTATTCCGTTCCTGAATCCGTTGCGAATTAGTTGAAATATTTACTAAAAAGTGACTCAAAAGGTCAACTTTTTCCAAAAAAAAAAAATGTTAAACTTTAAACCTATTTTTTTTTGTAATTTTTGGGTGGAAAAATATTCATAGCTCGACTAATACTTGGCAGATCCACAAATGTTATACACTCCCGATCTTAGATCTTCTGCCAGCATCTTTTTCAATCAAAGCTTGGGCAAAAAAATTTGTGACTAATTTTTTGTAATTTCCCTAAGGGGTAATATCAATATCGAAATGTTATGATAACAAAAAACCCATAATTGGAAGAATTAGAAACTTATTAAAAACCAACAAATTTTTTAAAAAATAATTTAATTAACAAATTTAAAATAAAAATATTTCCCTTCTCATGAAGGGAATTGCAGAAAATAATGAGAACATGATATATATACCGAAAATAAAGTTTCCATTAAAAATTGCATAATCAGACAAAAGGAATGCTGTCCAAGAGCATAACCAAGAGCCGTGCTCTACTAAGACTATTGTACTAAAAAAATAAAAAAAATAAATTAAATTAAAAATTAAGAGTGGTCGATAAAGTCCGGGAAACCAAAAAATCAGGAGTCATGCGTATAAATCAAAAATAAAGTTTCCAATAAAAATATTATTAGCAGACAAAATGGAAGTCGTTTGGCAAAATATTTAAATACACCGGAAACAGCAAAAACTTCGAGGAAAAAATTCAGGAAAATTATTCATATCTCGACTAATACTTGGCAGATTCACAAATGTTATACACTCCCGATCTTAGATCTTCTTAGAGCATCTTTTTCAATCAAAACCTGGGCAAAAAAATTTTGACCAATTTTTTTCAATTTTTTAAAGGGATAACATCATAATATTGGCCAAAAATTGGTGAAAAATTTTATTTTTCGACCTTTATGATATTTTAATGCAGATTGGAGGAGACTAGAACCCTGATTCATAAATGGTATTCCGTTTTTAAATCGGTTGCGAGTTAGTTGAAATATTCACTAAAAAGTGACTAAAAAGGTAAATTTCTTTAAAAAAAAAAAAATATGTAAAACTATTCCAATTTTTTTGCTTTTTTGAGTGGAAAATTATTCATATCTCGACAAATACTTGGCAGATTCACAAATGTTATACACTCCCGATCTTAGATCTTCTTACAGCATCTTTTTCAATCAAAACCTGGGCAAAAAAATATTGACCAATTTTTTTCAATTTTTTAAAGGGGTAACATCAACATCATATCAATATTGGCCAAAAATTGGTGAAAAAAAAATTGGTGAGCAAAAATTAAATAAAAAAAAGTAAGTGAAAAAAATGATTTAAAAAATCTAGAAAGACACCATCTATCTTTGAAAATGTTTACTTATTAAGATCCAATTTATCACAAAATGCATTTAACAAAAAATAAAAGAAAATAAGGATAGGAGCAACCTCATGGGGCAGTTGCTAGAGAATGACAACGACTATTTTGGTTCATAAATAAAAAAAAATTAAATAAAAATCAGAAAATAAGAGTGAGAGATGTTAGGGCGTTGAGACCCAGAACAAATCTGGCTATACAGTTCCGGGGTAGCTCTATTTATACAAAAAATGAACAGTTATCGATAAGATCTGTCAAAATTGACAGCTTTGAAAATGTATCGATTTAAATTTTATAGAAGAGGTTAAAAATCGGCACAATTTTGTGGAACTTTTCACATGTCTTAATGCAGATCGAGTGGGGATTAGAGCCTTAGGTCATAAATGGTATTCCGTTTTTATATCACTAGAGAAGTTTTTTGATTAGTTAAATATAGTCAAAAAACTTCTTTGATATAGTTAAAATAGTAAAACTATAGTTAGATACAGGTTAGTTAAACGGCAAAATAGTTAAAATATTCGTAAAATACTGCCTCAAAAGTTTCGATTTTTGCTTGATAAAGTATATTGAAAACTCTGTTCCAATTTTCAACATTTCATTATGGAAAAATTATCATAACTTTCATAATACTGGACAGACCCACAAATGGTATACATTCCCGATCTTAAATCTTTGAAAAGAATCATTTTCAATAAAAAACTGGCAACAGAAATGGTAACCCATTTTTGCCATTTTTTTCCAAAGGGGTTCATCATGAATTTTATCGAAAATTGGTAAAAAATTTTAAGTATGTACCTTAACGGTATTTTAATGCAGATTGGAGGAGCCTAAAATCTGATCCATAAATGGTATTCCGTTTTTGAATCGGTTGCGTATTAGTAAAAATAATCACTAAAAAGTGACTCAATAGGTCAATTTTTTTTTCAAAAAAATATATTCCAATTTTAGGCATTTCTGAGAGGAAAATTATTCATATCTCGACTAATACTTGGCAGATTCACAAATGTTATACACTCCCGATCTTAGATCTTCTTCCAGCATCTTTTTCAATCAAAGCTTGGGCAAAAAAATTTGTGACTAATTTATTGTAATTTTCCTAAGGGGTAATATCAATATCGAAATGTTATGATAACAAAAAACCGATAATTGGAAGAATTAAAAACTTATTAACAACAAATTTAAAAAAAAAAATAACATTTCATTAAACAAATTTAAAATGAAAATATTTCCCTTATCATGAAGGGAAGTCCAGACAATAATGAGAACATGATATATATACCGAAAATAAAGTTTCCATTAAAAATTGCTTAATCAAATGAAACCAATGCTGTCCAAGAGCATAACCAGCACGGCTAGACTAAGACTATTGTACTAAAAAATAAAAAAAATTAAATTAAATTAAAAATTAAGAGTGGTCGATAAAGTCTGGGAAACCAAAAAATCAGGAGTCATAAGTGTAATTCAAAAATAAAGTTTCCAACAAAAATATTATTAGCAGACAAAATGGAAGTCGTTTGGCAAAAAATTTAAATAATTTTTAATAATAAAAAAAGTTTCCAAAATAAAATAAAGTTTCCATTAAAAATTTCATAATCAGACGAAACGAATGCTGTCCAAGACCCTCACGAGTGCGGCGATCCTAAAACTATTGTACTAAAAAAATAAAAAAAAAATAAAATTAAATTAAAAATTAAGAGTGGTCGATAAAGTCCGGGAAACCAAAAAATCAGGAGTCATGAGTATAAATCAAAAATAAAGTTTCCAATAAAAATATTATTAGCAGACAAAATGGAAGTCGTTTGGCAAAAAATTTCAATAATTTTTAATAATAAAAAAAAGTTTCTAAAATAAAATAAACTTTCCATTAAAAATTGCATAATCAGACGAAACGAATGCTGTCCAAGACCCTAACGAGTGCGGCCGTCCTAAAACTATTGTACTAAAAAAATAAAAAAAATAAATTAAATTAAAAATTAAGAGTGGTCGATAAAGTCTGGGAAACCAAAAAATCAGGAGTCATGAGTATAAATCAAAAATAAAGTTTCCAATAAAAATATTATTAGCAGACAAAATGGAAGTCGTTTGGCAAAAAATTTAAATAATTTTTAATAATAAAAAAAAGTTTCCAAAATAAAATAAAGTTTCCATTAAAAATTGCATAATCAGACGAAACGAATGCTGTCCAAGACCCTAACGAGTGCGGCGGTCCTAAAACTATTGTACTAAAAAAATAAAAAAAAACAAAATTAAATTAAAAATTAAGACTGATCGATAAAGTCCGGGAAAACAAAAATCAGGAGTCATTAGTGTAAATCAAAAATAAAGTTTCCAATAAAAATATTATTAGCAGACAAAATGGAAGCTGATTGGCAAAAAATTTAAATACACCGGAAACAGCAAAAACTTCGAGCAAAATTTAAATAAAAAAGAGTGAAGTGAAAAAAAAGATTTTAAAAATCTAGAAAGACACTATCTATCTTTGAAAATGCTTACTTATCAAGATCCAATTTATCACAAAATGCATTTAACAAAAAATAAAAGAAAATAAGGATAGGAGCAACCTCATGGGGCAGTTGCTAGAAAATGACGATTATTTTGGTTCATAAATATAAAAAAAATTAAATA